AACTTCTAAAAAAACAAGATCTCAAAAGACCTTGATCCAATAATTATTCACATGCACAATAATTTTGCTCCAAGTATTCATATGTAGCTATCAACCCTTTGATCCTACCGATTTACTATTCTGAGCGATTTTCACGGCTAAGCATTCATTGGACAAATCACAACTTTGTCTGTGAGCAATCTTTCTCCAACTCCACCAAGAATGAACAACTTTCAATCCCGCCTTACGAACAATTGATACTTGATCTCACCAAAGTCTTCCATGGAGTATATTGAAACACTCTTCTTGATGGATATCAAGGATACCAAACTAGATTCAATAAATGATACTTGCACCTGTTATAAACAACAAACTTCACACAAAACATCAAATAACCTAATGTACCATTAGTCTCCCTTAAGAACTCAATCTTTGGAGGTAGAGGACCATAAACATGGAATTATGACTAAGGATGAAGATGGTGAATAGTTCCTAGAAGTCTCGCAAACCAAACTACAACACAAGATGTTAGTCAAGGTATATATGAATGTGCAAGTAGAACACAACACGAGGTTCTAAAAATTTTCTAGATGAATGAGTCTTGGCAAAAATGGTATTATTGAGATTGATTAATCATGAAAGATAACAAGATCACTCAACATAACAACATAATTTCATAAAACAAGATGCAACAAAAAGGATAATGAATTTGACATGAATTCACAATCAAGAGGTTGTTTGTAGGAGAAGAAGAGAAAATATCATGGTGTAAATAGGAACACACTAATAAGAGAAGACAAATAAAATCACTCATTGTCTCTATGGGTCACACCATGGATTTCTCACGGTTGTTACTTTCATCAAAGAAAATCTTATTTATATGAAATGTGAAAATATAGGTCTTTGAAGCAATGATTCAAATAAAGTGAAGAACATGATTCAAATCATTTTTGGAATCTTGAACTTATTGATTCGGATCAAGATAATAACACGATTCAAATCAATTTGGACAGAGGCAAAATGAAGCTTTAGAACCACAAATGATTTGAATCATCATTTTTACTTGATTCGGATCACATGAGGTTGTGATTTGAATCATGTGTATTTTTTTATTTGAATCAATCTGGAAAGATCCAAATCTTTCTTTTCACATAACTCATGATTCAAATCATATATTGTACTTCATTTGAATCAATCAATTGATATTTCAATTTTGATAACTTTAACTTGTGATTCAAGCTACGTCTATGGAAATGATAAGAGAGCAATCTCATAGGCTCAAAAAAACAGAATCCTAACAAAGATTAAAAGAGATTTATTACAAAGATGAAGAGGGTTCTTATTGGTACAAGTTTCTAATACTCTAATAAATTACAAAAAATAAAAGCGTACAAGCACAAAGAACAGTTGAATTTAAATTACAAATACACAATCCAATATGATAAACAATAATCAAACGTAAAAGCATCAAAACACAAACGACACTTAAAGCACGTAAAAGGTACCACATGATACTTATTTATTTCATAATGTATTGTAAATGATCTTGCTGAGGCAAGAAGTTCCTAGAATCTTCTCAGAAAGAGGTGAGGGATAAGCTAATAAAGGAGAAGGAAAATACCTTGGATGAGGTCCAAACCTTGTTGTTTAGTGTTCAAGATGCTTTATATGAGACCAGGGATTCACTCAAAACTTCCAACATAATTGTGAAAGATATGGATACTACTTTGAAGGAGGAAAAAAGGTCTCACTTGGAAGAGGTCAAAAAGCTACAGGAGCAGCTTAAAAAGTCAGAAGAAGAAAAAGACTCGTGGCACGTTGAGTTTAACAGATTTTTCTGTGTCGTTGGCCATGTCATGCAAGTCTATTTCGATAATCATTTAAAATAATTGAACTCCTTGTCTTGGAGTGAAGATCCCCAATGACAAGTTCATTAAGCAGGAGGTTGTGGATAAGAATGTGCTCACTCTCTTTAAAGCTCCAGCTTCCTAGGATTTGCTTTTGCTTTTCTTTCATTTTGAAGTTGTGTTAGCTTTATTTGTTTGGTTTTTTATTGGGTTATGTTGTAACGGCCTTTGGCCTTATTTCGTGAATGATTATATGAATGATTTTGTTTTATCATTTCCAATAGTATTATGTCTCTATTATCTGCATCAACAATTCACTTGTGAAAATGGTGCTTGTGTCTTTATTTGTAACCGCTATAAAGAGTTGGTCTTTTATTTATTTTTCATATCTGAGGATCATGTCCGATCAAGGTTCTCTTCCCTTCCATACCTTTGGGTGAAAACCCAATTTAAGGTTAACGTGATTGGGGCTATACTGCCTTACCTCTAGAGTGGCTAGCTACCATAGGGGTGTTCCTAGTACAGAGATCAACATTTGATTCTCATAATGTTCTTAGACATTCTCCAACATCTCACTTGAGGTATGATGCCCTTATCCCTTTGTTTTTTAAGATTTGTTCAATCTAAGGTGGTAGTATTAAAGCTTTTCTCTATTGTCTAAAAAAGTGACGATGCCAATAAAACTTAGCACAACTATTATTCAATTATTTTCTTAGAAAAATATTACATTCACATGTTTTTCAGGCATTCTAAATATGTTTAAATAATGAGACAACTTAGTTGTAATAGCATTTTTATTTATCAACATTCTAGGTCCTTGGAATAAGTTATTTATGGAGAGTCTCAATGGTGTAAGACCACTTTCTCATTCCAGTTAGGACCTGGTACAACCTTCCCAATTTGACCACTTTTATCATGAAATCCTCTTGTTGTTGGATCTATCATGACAACAAAATTTTATCTTTTCCAAGTTGATCAATAAAAGAAACATATTTATAGCAAGTCAACACGTGATAAAACAAAGCATTAACAACACATCACTTAACATAAAAAATTACATTATATTAACTTCTCATTGCTCAATAAACAAAGGTTTAGCTCATAACGAGCTGAGTACAAACTACAATACTACTCCTTAAGCTAATCATTCTCAAACACATAGTGGAAAAGAAAGAACAACCTAAGAGCACCATCTTGTCTTATTGATATGGTTAATCACCAAGATATAACTTTTATCGCGTCAGAATTTAGCAGTAGACACTTGAGATGGTGAGAAGAAGAAGCTTCATTTTCACTCTACTTTTTACCTCACTGGTTTCTTCTTCGTAATTTTCTCTAACATATGTTGAACTCTTTTTCATTCTTCAAGAGTTGCTTTTATAGTTTCTTCAGTTAAGGTTTTTCCATTTGTCCTGGATCATGGGCTTGAGAATAAATCAAATCAGGCCCAAAAGAAAATCATCAAAGTTCCCTCTTTTTCCTTCTCATTAGTACAACATGGAAATCAGGTTCAAACGGTAATGGGGGGACAAGATGTAGCGTGGTAGACTGCTAGAACAGAGGAGTAGGCGGCGATGTCCTTTTTGCTGCATGACTCGCATAATGGTTGTAATACATACTGCATTTTTTCTTCTAGAACTTTTGTTCTTATCCTTTCAAATCAATTCTCATTCCAATGAAAATTTCTACCACGTGTGCCATAGGAATGTAATTATTGTTTCTCTTTTTCTCTCAGTTGAATGCAACCTTCTACTTTTCTTTGACTCTCAGTAACTACCTTAGGTTGTCGTTCCTGACCTCATCAAAACTAACCTTTCAAAAGCAACAAACACATAAAAACTACAAAGGAAATCATCTATTGCCTTTATCTGATAGTTTATGTTTATCAGACCTTTATATTTGTGGCTTGCATCTTTAACCACTTAAGTGTATTATTTAAAGTTATCACTGATTGCATCTTTATTATGATGGATATCCTTGTTCTTTTCTTTATAGTTGTCATCATCAAAAGATATTGTCTTAATTAAGGGTCCATTACCTGCAAAACAAGGTCTACACTTTCTTCTACATACACTTGTATTGCTGTTGACATTTTTCAACAGGATACTCTTATTCATCGACCATCACCATGTGGAAAGTACTTCAGATACAAGTAAGTCGCTCCCTTCACTCGAAACCAGACTCATGATACGATTTATTAGCGTAATTTGGGGAGTGAAGCGAAGAGCATTTTCTACTTTGGGACTTTCCTTTAGGAGCAACACACCTTTGTGAGAGACACACCACATATTCACTCAAAATATTAAGATGATATATGAGTGGGTTCTCCGTCTTATAAATGCTCAAGTATCCACGTTCATAACCAATGTGGGACTTCCATACGCTATTCACACTTGTAATTCTTTTTCGAGATGTACCTTTGGTTGATAAGGAGAACTAATATACATCTTTGTGTTCTTTATTTTTCTGCATTTAAATTTTGTACTTTACTTCATAAGTTCATCAACATATTTCCAAAAATATAAGAACATAAGAATCATCACTTCATAAGTTCATCAACCTATTTCCAAAAATATATCAATAAACATTGATAAAAAAGATTAAATAAAATAAGAGAGTAAATAAAGTGTATTGTCAATGTAAACTAGTTTTATATCATCATCCAATAAAATTATAACATTCAGCTATGTCGTATCAGTATTTTAAAATTAAAAACGTAACTTGATAGAATACACGTTTGTGATTGGTTGACAATGTAAAAATACTTAACATTGTCATGCATACTTTTTTTTCTTCATAAAATAAATAAATAATTCATTCGTTCATAAGGCAAATAAGTAAATAAAAATAATAAATTGTTCAAAATTAAATACTAATAAGTAAAATAGAAACAGGATAATGTAAAATTATATATCTCCATTACACCACCGGAAGTAGAAATGGTAAAATAATGATCTCTCCAATTTGACATTATTACCCCTCGAAATATAGCCGTTAAGAATGACGTAATTCAAACCAAAATCCGACCGTTAGAAAATAACAATATTTCCTTTTCTGATATTCACCTATGTTCTTTTCTTCGCCCTCGTTCTCTCCAAACGCTGCAAAATCCAAACCGAAAAAATCAAGATCTAGAAGCAGTGTGCTTGTTGTGAGCGAATCACCGCAACAAAAATGGTGGAAAATGGAGAACAAATTCGAAGTCCCGTAATCCGAAAGAAATCGCCTTTGATGGAATCAAATAGCCAAAACATGGCTTCTCTTATCAGTCCTAGGTTCAAATCTGCTGCTGCTATGGCTGGTTGGGACGAAGAAGCACTTTTGCTTGCAGCTCTCATTGTTGAAGATACCCCAGATCGAGATTCCAAACAAAAGAAACGTCTTGTTTTGAGTTCCAAATCGCCGCTATCCAATTCATCAAGGTAATCGACATTTACTGCTTTTTTTTTCATCTTTCGGAAAACCCATCTTTAGTTTTTTCATTATTTTTGTTAAAAATTGGATCTTTATTAAGAATATTGGGTTATTGGGTTGATTATGATTAGGGTTTATCTGAATGTAGTTTTTTTTTGTTGAAAACTGTTTTTTTGGTAATTGGGTTAATTTGAGTTGTTATTTTGTGTTTAGGAAACGTAGAGCTCTGAGGAATCCACAACCTATTGTTCTTGATCTTGATGAAGAAGAAACCTCCAAAAAGGGTAAATTATCTTGATTTGGGTTTTGATTCATCTCTATTTGAAGTGTGTTTGTTCTATTTTTAATTTTATTCATGTGATGATGATGTTGTTGATGAACAGATAGTGGGAAGAAGAAGAGAGAAAAGAAGAATTGTGTCGGCGAAGAAAGTAAGGTTGGAGAAAAGGAATTGACTAAGAAAGGATCTGATGTTGATTCGAATAGTTCTGGTCTTCCTTGTATGGATAAGCTAAGGGAGGAGCTTTCATGTGCAGTAAGATTCTTGTGACATTTCATTATAGTTTCATGATATATTTAGAGACAGGTGGTGATTTTGTTTAATATGCAACCGTTATGCAGATTTGTTTGGAGATATGCTTTGAGCCAAGTACCACTCCTTGTGGTCATAGGTATGAAATTCAAACACAATAATGCTTTAGGAGTTTTCATTTTCTGATTTGGCCAATTGAAGTTATGCTATAAAACTCCTTAGGAGATACCAATTCATTTCATGATATGTTAGGTTTTTGACATAGAATCTATAATTTTGCAGCTTTTGTAGAAAATGTCTGAAGTCTGCTGCAGACAAGTGTGGCAAAAAGTGTCCCAAATGCAGGCAATTGATAAGGTATATAAAAACTAACTATAAACTGGTTTGTGAGCAATGTGTGGTTGTCGTGCAAATTAAAATTATGCTTGAGGTTTCTGTTCGAATAAATTGTTGGTAGCTCACCACTTGTTCATTGATCATGATAATATGTTGCAGCAATGGTCGATCATGCACGGTGAACACAGTTCTCTGGAACACGATTCAACTTCTATTTCCTCAAGAAATTGAAGCAAGGAAAGTTGCTGCTAGCGCCATAAATAATAGACAAGCTGTTCAGAATCCAATTCCAGAAACAACATTTTATACTAGCACAAGGAATAGAAGTTTACAACCATATCCATACAGTAGGGGTATGAATTCAAGGAGAAATGAGGCGGTGACAACACAGGATGAAGAGGATGCTGCATTGGCCAGAAGGCTACAAAGAGAGATAGATAGAGAAAACAACAACAGGAGAACTTCAGCATTATCATCAATTGTAAGAGCAAGGTCAAGAAGAGGGGTTTCTAACCAAGATGAAGATGCTGCTTTTGCTCTAAGGTTGCAAAGAAATGAGTTTATGCAAGCTTTTAGAAATAGCAGCCAGGAACCGTCATCTTCTTCTTCCTCCACATTATTAGCTGGACCAAATTTGAGGGCTATGGCAACTAGAGCCATGAATCTTCGTAATAGAGATAGAAGGGTATAATAATCAAGACAACTGGAAATGTATAATTAAATTGTACTAGAGCCATTGTTTTGAGTAACTGCTGTGAGAGTAGTGAATATCAGATAATAAATATTGTTTTTAGTTTATTTTGTTTGAGACTCACCAGAGGTGCTATCATTTTATAAGAACTTGGAAATGTATGATTAAATTGTACAAGCAAGGCTATCATTACTTGCGAGATCGCAACATATCTTATGTGTATGCTAAGAACTTGGAAATGTATGAATAAATTGTACAAGCAGGCTACCATTATCCTGCAAGATGGCTACAAATCTTGTGTGTATGCAACTTGGGAATGTATGATTAAATTGTACAAGCAGGCTACCATTGTTTTGAGTAACTGCTGTGAGAATATTGAGTATTAGAATAAATATTTTTTTTAGCATATTTTGTTTGAGAGCTATCATTATCCTGCAAGATGGCTATAAATCTTATGTGTATGCTAAGAACTTGGGAATTTTTTTAGCAATAATCATGTTTTAAAAAAAAAAATACACAAATAATCATGTTTCGGAGAAATTTACGCAAATGGTCATGTTTCAGAAAATATTATAATGCAGTAGCCATCTCAGATGGCGCATGCATTGATAGATGCGCCAAGTGAGCTGACGCCTAGTCCTCTCCTAATTTTTTTTCAATTTTTCTATTTACCTGCGGATTTTCCTGCGGATTTACTTGCAGAATATTTTCCGCAGGTAATTCTGTAGAAAAATCCACAGGTATGTCCGAAGATAATGTCAAGTCTGCAGGAAAATCCGCAGGTAAATGAAAATGTTGAAAATATATAGGAGACACCAATTCAAGTGGAGTCTCCTCTTTAATTCTTTTTTTTTAAATGGTTATTTGCGTAATTTTCTCCGATAACATGATTATTTGTATAATTTTCTTCGAAACATTATTATTTGTGTATTTATTTTTCAAAACATGGTTGATACTAAAAAAAACATTCAGAACTTGAGAGTTATCGGTGCTTCTTTTGATGTTAATAGCAATTCATTGGAACTCTTGGCTACAAGATTGGCAATATGACGTGTGTGGCTTATAGGTGTAAGAAGTTCATTTCTTAGATGTTAATTACTTTTGACTAAATTGAAGGTTAGATCCATGACTTTAAATAACGGTTACGGGTCACAGTCACGTAAATATTTTTGCGAGTTTGGTTGCTACACGTGTTGCATATAGATTGCTTTTATAGTTGCGTTAAAACAGATTTTTAAGAAAAGATATTTAGAATAATTTCTCATTTTGAACATTTTTAAAACTGTAAACATTTTGGACTAAGATAACTTTGATTGGACCTTAAAAAATGACGGTAAAAGAAGCATCACAAATGGTTCGGGTCGTCCAACTCGTTTATATATCCATTCAAAGATAACTGAATAATTATGTGTCGAACCATGTGTCTCTGAAAGAGCCATATTTGTCACTCTCCAAGTATTATGGGTTATCCGCAACACCTAAGATGAAAGATCAAAAGTTAAGAGTGAAGGAAACTAACACGAAAAACATGTGTTCCCTCGTTCTCACCCAAAGTAGATAACTTCGTCCTCTGATGCATCATTCACAGTCCAGATTAATCGGACGGTTGTCTGCATAGTATGGTGTGTCCCTCGTAGACAGTTTTAACCACTCTTAGTATGTAAAGGGAATAATGTGTCATTCTCATATATAAAAATCCATTCTCATTTTCACATCACTTTGATTCTCTGACTTATTTGGGCGTTGGAGTGTTAACCTTGAAGTACACTTATGTGTCGTTGTATCGGAAGTCTCGTGAAACTTTTCACGATATATCTCATTGTTTCATCAATAATTCCAGTTCTAGATCGAAACAATGGCGACATATGTGGGAATTGACCTTTGATTCTCGCCAATTTCTATGAAGAACTACAATTTCTTCCATCGAAGATCCATATTTTTTATCTTCGTTCATTGAATCGTCAATCTCTTCTCTCGAGAACCTGAAATTAACTCTTCAAGACTATGACAAAAACAAGAAACACTCGATCAATAAAAATTATCACGTTTGCTGTTGCTACCTGAGCTCAACCACTTCATCTAGAAGCCGAAGATCTTGTCCCCATGACCTCTCAGTCTAATCTAACACTGCAAGATCCATCAAAAATTATCCTGGGAACTTTTCAAGGTAAGCCATTAAATCACACTCATTGGCAATCCATAGCACCTGGACAAGAGGCATTTCCTGACCTACAGTTGTTGCAAGTTAGCCCAGGCTTGCAAGAAGAGATTAATTTGTTGAATAACATGTATAACTTGGTCCATCAATAGAATTCTCAAGTCCTGGCTGATAGAATCTTAAGAATTGAAAAGAACTTGCGATTTGCCCCTCCAAAAAACAACAATAAAGGTGATTTTTGTCGAGTTTGGAACACCATGAATCAAATGCTCTAAAATCAACATAATGAGATACACACATCTTTTGGTCGGAGTATTACCGTGTTAGAACATCAATTCAAAGACAACATCCTTTATTTAAAGTTGGTTGACTACGTATCTTGGGCGACATTAAATTTTATTTTTCACGAAGCCAAGCGAGCGGATAAAACATGTTTAGATAGCTCAAGGTGTGGATGTACACTTAGGAAAGCTTTTTGTCTTCCATGTGCTTGTTTAATTTCAAAGAAGATGAAGCTTGAAAAACTAATATATATATATATATATATATATATATATATATATATATATATATATATATATATATATATATATATATATATATATATATATATATATACTTTTGCACTCATTGAAAAAGTTTTGTTTTGATGATGAAGGATAATAAATAAAACATATCTATCATGATCGAGTGGAAAGTCATCCAAGAAAGGTTCATGAAAGCTCATGACATAATGAAATTACATATCAAAGAGCAACTAAGGAAGATTTTCTATCTAGAAACAACAGATTTGAAACCACCGTCGTAATCAGTTAAAACAAATGGTGTTCCTAAAAAGGTTAAATCAACGCAAAGTGACAACTCCACGAGACGGTCTCCTTCATACTTTGAACAATTGACTCACACTATTTGGATTCTCCGATTTCAAAATTCCAAAAGAGTGTTTTCAAGATTTCTCGCATTAGCAAACTATCTCCCTCAACCCTATTACCAAAAACCAAACACATTGAAGAGATGTCGTTTTTTATGCACAAATATATTGAGTGGATTGTAAATGTTGAAGGTGACGACAACTGTAGTTTTTGAGTTGTTCCAGATTCGCTATGTAAAGGAGAAGACGACTACCAATTTGTTTGTATTCATCTTATACAAGAGATGAAGACGCTTAGAGAATCATACACAAAACTATACGGAAACAATGCAAAATATGATCAATTTTTAATGCTCTAGTTCCTTATCTTAGAGGTCCGACTCTGTTTGGCAAATGGATGCGTTTAACAGAAATGGGACACCTTATAGAAAATGCTTATGATAAGGGGGTCTGTATTTCTTTAACATGATATGATTTCTGGGAAACATTATTTTCACTTAGGATTAAGCCACCTCAAAATTCCTCTGAATGTATCATGTATATCAGTTGACTGTCAAAAACACCACATTTTGTTCAGATTTATTTGAAACCGGGATGTCTTATACCGAAGACATCACGAGAATGGATGACACATTTTACACAAGATGATGAAACTTGGTTGAATCACTCTTTATAAAAGATGGAAGAGCTCACCAAGTTGAGCGACATTAAAAGAGAAGTAAATACAGAAATATCAAAGAATAAACCACCAATAGATTTATGCAATGACATATGTTTTGATGCATTTTAGTTGTGAGATCTAACTATGTAACATGTTTTTTGTATGTAACACATTACATAATATTATAAAATTGGGTGGTATTTTTTGGGCATTTTTTGTGTTTTAAAGTTTGGCTCAGCATAATCTATTGGTTTTGTTCTACATAGAATTTTGGTGGATCCGTAGATGCATCTCTAAACACACCTTACAATTAAAAAAACAAAACAGGGGACTATACAGACGTGCATCTCTGGTTAAATCCTCATTTTTTGAAGAAAAAAAGGTGGGTCCGAAGATGTATCTCCGAAGTATTTCTTGAAGATAGGATAAGATTTTTAAGGTCCTTATTGCTCTACACCTTCTATAAATAGGGTCTCTCATTTTATTTTCTTTGCAAAAGTTAGAATGAATCTTTATCCCAATCTTGTATTTGGGTATTTCAATGGCGCAAATCCCTCACTTCAATGTAGGGTCTCCGAGGACATACTTCTCGTTGATCTAAAATCCAAATTGAATACTCTGCTGCAAAATCCAGAAAATCAGAGAGTTGTCAAGCTCGAGTACCGTTCACCTTCCATTAACAACGAAGGAACGATACAGTTCACTATGCTTGAACTAAAGACATATGATGATTTAAAGGTTATGTGGAGTACCTTTTGCCGTTATTCAATAAAGGGTCTGATTGAAGTGGATGCGATGATTCAAAGATTAGTCAATGATATTATAAGTATGTTGCAACATCCTGAACCACCCGTTTGTAATGACATGTAATGTTTATCTATGTAGTGTATTTTTTATGTTAATTTATGTTGGCTTTCCATTCTGCCATTGTTTACTGTTTTGAACCAACAGAGCATATTCTGGAGATGCATCTCCCGAAAGCTCACAAAATAATGAACTAAGTGGAATTTCTGAGATGCATCTCAAAATCAACCTTTTGTACATACGAAGATGCATTTCCTGGCCAAATTTAAACAGAATAAATAATTTCTCAATAATTTTATTAAGATGTGTGTAGAAAAAGGTGCGTTCAAAAAAATATCTTTAGAATTTAAGAGCATTTGAAACCTTTCATAGTCATGGGAGAGACCACATGAATGTAAAGAGCAATTTTTAATCTTTATCTTTTAGAGAATTTCTCTTTACACCTAGTTGTGGTGATTTTCACCACTGAAAACTCAAAAATATCCTTCGGATATGCACATCCGAAC